TTCAGGTACTGTTCTAAGAAGCCCATAAATCTGGAGGCAGGCCACAATACCAGTGTTTCCTGCCTGTGGGTAGGAAATTGGTTGGAGTTGGTATGCATGGACAAAATCAACTGTTAGAAAGGATGAAACTGATACAACTCTAGGCTCTCAAAAATCTGTCCTGGAGTAGATGTGTTTTGGTTTTTTAAAAACGTGTTAGAAAGGCAGTGAGAAAAGGATACACTCACATTTAACATGAGGGAAGTAATAGACATGTTGGGAAAATGGTCCTAGGACGGGATCCAGACAGAAAAGCTGAGGGTCTGTTAGTGTAAAAGGCTTTTTTCTTGCATTTTCCTTTGATTATTTTTATCAAGGATGATGTAGATGGTCTGTCAGAATATATCATGGGTGTGGTTAACAATCCCATGCATGAAAGATATTTCCATAGTGGAACGAGTAATTGGTTTAGAGTGGTGTCTGTGTTGCTATCATACCAATCCGCAGTGGCAAAGTTGGTGGCAGTAGGAATTTCTAAGTAGGTGTCCTTACAAAAAATGTGAAATACTCCTCTTGCCTAGTTGAATATAATTTTCTCCTAAGATACAGTGCTTTGCTACTACCTTCATTTTCTTATTCAGAGAGTGTGTTTTTCTTAAAATGGTGAATAAAATGTAGAGGCATATAATATTCTTTGGCCGGGTTAATTGATGTGGTAGCACAAAAGAAATTCATAAGTTCTGTGTTTTGTTAGGGTCCCAAAGTGAAGAGAATTCTATAGTAAGGTGAAGAGTAAAAGTATGAACATAGAGGTGTTGATCAGATCTCTTTGGCAGCAACATGATCAGGGTAGTGTAAGGAGGTGTTTGCTTGTAAATGAAGCCGCAGTGTCCATGGTTCATAAATAAATGATCAGTGGAACAAGTTTAGCTATCTTACACTTATCCTCCTAGGTATCCACAGTTTTGGCTTTCAGACTGCTGCAGTGTGTGAGCATTACTGAAAACATGCAAACAATTCTAGGTGTGTTGCAGCCTACTGGAAAACAAAGGGGCAAACTAAATTTCTGAAGCAGTTTGAAGGTGCAGCTAGCCAGTGTACAGCCGTGTACACCTCAGGGCTCGTGAGAGGTGACAGCTGACTGTGAAATAGCCCTGAGCTTTTGAGGCTGTGTTACAGCAGCCCAAAGACTGCTCCAAGAACCTCAGTTTTTACCTGAGCTGTCCTAAAATGCGATGAGTGATGCTTTTCATTGTGTCATTGTATCTTCTAGCTTTCTCTCCAGTTCTTTGCATAATTATTGAACTTTTCATAGGTCCGTAGAGGTCCCGGCCAAAGCAATAAAATCAGTCTTTCTCTGAACTATGAGAGGTCTACATGCCTTTGAAACTTAATTCTGATGAAAAGGATGTTGAGTTGCTTCAAGCCTTTTGCAACGAGCTGTCTTTGTTGACTGTACTTTTATATCAGTGTTCTTAAAGGTTAATTAATCCTAAAATAGGAGTGTGCTGCTTCAGGTTCAGAACTGAGTTAGATGCAGACAACTGTAAAAGAATGTGTGAATGCTGAATAACCAGTCATGTCCCTAGAACATGCATGTGACCTGGCACAGATTCAGGAAATGCTGCCGTCTCTATTCAGAGCATTGAGCAGATGAAGTTGGAGAATTCTTCCTTCAAGCCCAGTTTATCAAAGACTTGTTTGAACTGTGTGCAGTTCATATATTTGGCTTCCATTTACTGATAGGAAATACATGATTGTAAACATGGTCGCTTTATTTTCGATTGTCCTTGACTTGAGCAAGTTCAGACTTTGCAGATTTACTGTTTACTCGGGAGGATGGTAAACATTGAGATCTGGATTATTTTATGACTTTTTTTTTTTAAGTTATCCTTGTATCTGTACAGACTTTGGGTTCCTTAGATGATTCCTATTTTGAGATAGATGGTTTAAGCACATGGTACTGATTTGGGTGGTTTGGGGTGAGTTGTTTGATTTTGGGCGAGGGAGAGTCAGTTGGTTTGGGGTTTTTCTTCCCTTTAAAAAGCACATGTATTCAACTCTGTACTTGGTTTGCAACAGGTAATAAATGTGCATTTAGCTGGTGCAGCCTTGGTCAACACAGACTGCACGCTTTGTATGGTCTGTCGCAATGTTTGTGTTATTTATATCAATGGCTGACACTGTACTGTGTGCTGAGACCGCGTGTTGGAACTGCTGAGCTCGGAAGGGGGAGGGACCTCGGGCCAGTGCAGCCCCATTGACTGAGCACCTCTGAGCAGTCAGCACAGGAGCTGTGCTTGTCTTCTGGCTTAGCTTCACCCAAAGTGGCTCCTCTGACACACTCCTAAGACTGTTATGCAGTGATGCAAGCCCGAAGGTAGTAAGAGAAAATCATCAAAAGATGAGCAAAAAGGATTGCTTCAAAAGCACTTTTCTCATCCCAGCTGAAACACTTCAGAGACCTCCCCCTTGCTGGTTTAGAGGAGGCTGAAAGAAACGCTGTCCTGTGGTTGTGGTTCTGGGTAGTGTTGCTGTTTTCATTGTTCTGTGATAGACTGAATCCTGTACCCGTTCAAAAACGGTGTTCAGCTGTGATACTTGGGGAAGGAGTTTTAATCTTCGTGGCTTTTCAACCTTGTGCAAGCTCCAGCAGGTACCTCTGCTCTCAGGACCTTTCTCTCCTGCAGATTACTTGCTGAGGAGGTAGCAGCAGTAATTCTGAAGAGTATGGTCACTTCATCACAGAGCCAGTGTCTGTTTCAGAAGCACCAGTTCCTCAACGTTGTTCAGAAGCAAAACCTAAGGCCCAGTGCTGTCATGGATGATCAGTCATTCTTGTACCATGTTTTGAAGGGATTTAATGAAGTCTTCGTACCAGGCAGCCTGGAATCTGTCTAAAGGCTGCAAAAGCAATGTTTCTTAAAATGCATGTGCTTCTTGAAGTAGGAAAGATAGCAGCTGTAGACAGATCTAATTTTTTTTTTAAAGGCTAAACTCCTTTTACTTCAAATGTATGTGCTTATGCAGTTTATGATCCAGATTTTTCTTAAAGAGGGAGCCAATTAAATTGCAACAAAAGAAGGACAAAGGCGTCCACAAATGGTTTTGATTTCAGCTTTGTGGTGTATATATTCTGTGCCTGATGCCAGCCACAGCTGTGGTTTTTATCTGCCACCTTGTAACATACCATATTTCTAACAAGCATTTTAGTTCTTAGAAATAGGAGATTACATCACTGGCCTGCCATTCACACGCTTCATTGCTAGGCAACAGTTAATGTAATTCCGTTGTTCAGTGACACTACTTTGAATCTTTGCTTTGTGTACAGAAAGTGTGTCTGCATTTTGCCATGTTGTACCTCATATGGCAGGGTTTGTACAGGTGGATTAGCATTTCAACATCTTCTGTGCAAGGGGGCGATTTTACAATAGCTTGTTCACTCGTGTCTGGAAAAGATGTCTTCTTCTTGGTCTTTGTTACTGAATCTTCAGGTTCCTCTCCCCTTAGATGTACATAGCACCTTTTATTGGATGAATGTGATGCCTTTAAGATTCCTGCAGAGTACACAATTACCTTTGCTGCAGTGAGCTGGAGAGGTCAAATGCATTGCTCAAATCCATGTAGATGATGATACTTTTGATCTGGCTCATAATATCTTTTTCTTTGACATAGTGTTTCTGTAGCCAAGTGCTGCAGGGAATATTCTGGTGGAGGTTGTGCACTACAGTTTTATAAAAGGGAGTTGCAGTAATGTTGCAGTACATCTAGTGTGTGATGGCAAACAGGGCTGAAATCATGGATACCTTTTCTTGTGGTTTGTCTTTATGCCACACTGAACAGCTTTCCAGGGAGAGCTTCCAAGAGCTGAGACAAAGCCTTGAGCAGCCTGGTCTGATTTGATTGTTGGCCCTGCTTTGTGCAGGCAACTGGGCTAAATGATGGCCTCCTGGACTGAATTACTGAGTGAGTCTCTGACTGTACCCTGGCACGATGCAGCATTACAGCTGCTGGAAACAGCTGTATGTGTGTCTGCCCTCCTCACAGCGCAGGGAGGGGGCAGTTGCAATGCCAGTGAGAGGGAGCATTGGCTGGAGGCCGCCTGCGGTGTTCCCCTCAGACTGGAGCTGCAGCGTGTCACATTCCAGCCGAGTGAGCTCTTGTGTCCAAGGTATGGGTTGGTTTGGAATAGGAACACTGCCCTTCACAGTCAAATGAAATTCCCCAGGTCATAGACTAGCCACTGCATCTTCTGAGTGCATTGTTTTAGCTCGGCCTTGTATTGGGAGGTTGGAAAAGCCTGTCATGAAATATTCCAGCTATGTTGTCTATCATTGCAAATTGATGTTTTGTTCTGCAGCAAGTGTGAGGACAGTCAGGAAGGACACTTGTAAAGCACAAACTGATAAGGCCCTTGTATTTAAAAATAAATGTGTTAGTTGGCTCTTCAAGCAACAGTTGTTTCTCTCTGACTAGCTCTGCTCAGCTTAAAGATAATGAAGGTATTGATGTGTTGGGATCCTTGTAACTGTAAGGGAGGCAAGGTCATGGCAGAGGGATGTCAGACCTTTGTCTGACTCTTTATCTAGTTGCAGATTCATCCTACAGGGCTTATTTTGCAGTAACCTTAAGTAGACTTTTTGTTTATTTAAAAAGGACCTTCTGAGAACAACAGTCCTGAGAATATCAATTTTGCAAGTTTATTTCTCTAGGTATTTGGTTCTGTCTTTAATAGTTGGTGGTTTGTATTTGTTTCTGCCTGCTTTCTGGTTGGAATCAGATTTTTCCACTGCTGTGAACCCTTCAGAAATGCTGTTGTTTCTAGCAGTTCATCTTTCCCTAGCAGAGGTTCAAGTTTACAATGTGTATATCTATTTTATTCTAACAGCAGATCATAGATAGTAACTGGCAACATTTCTGAGGGACACTACTTTATGGTGTTTGGTAAAGCAATTACCTTGCTGAAGGAAGGAAGGGCTTGGTGTTCCAAGGAACTTACCATGTTTTTGTACCTTTTGTAGGCAGCAGCAGGCATCCTGTGCTACGTGGGAGCCTATGTGTTCATCACATACGATGACTACGATCACTTCTTTGAAGATGTCTACACGCTAATCCCAGCTGTTATCATCATCGCTGTGGGAACGCTGCTTTTTATTATTGGGCTTATTGGGTGCTGCGCTACCATTCGAGAGAGTCGCTGTGGGCTGGCTACGGTGAGTGCAGAGCTCCTGCAGAGGCTTGGCCTGCTCTCTTCATAAACCCCTAAAATATTACTTAAAGTTCTTTCTTTATGGCCTTAAAAGTTTTCTGCTTAATTTTGTTAGGAACATCTTGTTTCAATTTTCTGTTCTGAATAAAGGTGTTAAATGAAACAGTTCTAGCAGCAGAAGGCGCCTCAGTTTTACCTTTTTTAGAACTGTGAGAATCTCATTAAAAAATGTAAAACCATGTGATTAAGTCATAACTGGTTTTAAGTCTCACTTTTATCTGTTGTGGTTGAAAAGCTGAATTGGAGAGAGAGAAAAGTGATTCAGGAGCAGCCTTGCATTGATGTTAACTGAGGGTTATCATAATGCCTGATCATTTTCTTCATGGCTTACTTGGGACACTTGGTTTGTACTTGGCAGTATTTTACGCCCTGTGTTTCCAAGTATTTGAACTGTAATTTTGGCTTGGAAACTAGGTAGGGAAGAAGAGAGGCTGGTGTCTGAACTGTCCCCACAGTGAGGTCTGGGGCTTCTTTGTTGAATGCCATGCAGACTTCTTTAAAAGTGCTCTTAAATATAGCAAGGCAAATGCATAGCTTGCTGTCTTTTCCAGTTGTTACAGAGCTTAATCTGAAGAAACATTTCCTTAGTCAATCTACCACTCTAAGTAACTGCCTGGGTAGCCTCTTTGATGAGGCAATCCTATTTATCCAACAAAGAAGATTGAAAGAAACACTTGATTAAAGACCTGCAGTATGGTATTTTCAGTACTAATGACAGCTGGACTTGCCTGACTGGGCAGCTTCTTATTACTTGGTAAAGCTGTGAATGCTGAAGTGTCTTGAGTGAATTCTGGGCTCATTTGGTCAATTAAAGTGCCTGCATTGAATTATCTGTTAAATTAAAATCTTGCCTCAAAAATAACTTTAGATAGAAAAATCTACATGGACACTTTTATTAGGCAAACAAGTAAAACTATTTGTACAAACGCTCTTGATTGTATTTTGCAGTTTGTGATCATCTTGCTCTTGGTTTTTATCACCGAAGTTGTGGTCGTGGTTCTTGGATACATTTACAGAGCAAAGGTAAGAACTTCTCCATTTCAGTGAATGTTTTGTTGTGAACTCTGACTATAGTATGGAAGTGTAATCTTTACTGTGCTTGATTCTGTAGAACTGTTAATGGATGTTTGTTAAGGGAATAAAATCAAGCATCTGAGTGGATTAATTGGTAATAACAGTACTGTAAAACTTAGAACATCAATGCAAAGAGCTATCTTATAGGGAAAAAATTACCTGGAACATATCATTAACAGTTAAACAGGAGAAGGGAGTCACAGTAATTGGTACCTTTACATTTTCCAGATGGTCTTCTAATTTATTTAGGCTTTGACTTTGTGAATGATTTAGGCTACACAGTGTTTGAACATAGGGCATATTTTTTTGGATATGCAATAATTTAAATGTTGTCATGTGTTTGGTGTGCAAACTAACACTGTGTTATAATAAATTGAAATTGATTGAATGTGTTAATGTATACTTTCTAGCTTTGCACTGGTTGTTGACAGGGATTTTAACTAAACAAATTACAACTTTTCCCACTGTTTGTTTAATGGCATTAAGAAACAGGACCAGAAAAATGAAACTAGATGTGTTTCTACTAGCATAATATATGGCAGAAATATACTGCATGGTATTAGAGGTGCCACAATGTAGCTTGAAGAAATTTCTAACTTGCACAGTTTACTGGCTTTTGATATATCTGTATTTAAATTCTGAAAAAATAAAAAACCCAAAAGAGCAGAGAAGGCATTTTAGCTGTGACATGGAGCATGTTTGCAGTGTAGGACACTCAGAGATGTCTTACCAGCAAGCTGAGCTGCAGTACCATTTACCTTTCTGTGGCCTTTTGTGTCCTGTGAACAGCACAGGTCTCACTGGTTCAGCATTCTCTCCTCCTTGCTTTCTCCTGCTGTCCTGGAACAAATGGGGAGACAGCTTGGAGGTAAAAGTGGTGGCTTTGCTTGGGTCCCAGGGGAAGGCTGCTTTGAGTAAGCAGCTGACAACACGACCTTGAAGTGTTTGTGTGATAGACCTGGTGCATAACACTTGGAATAGGCTGCTTCAACAGTAGTGCTCTGCTGGCCATGATTAAACTCACAGACTGTGTTTCTCTCGTGCTTTGCATTTGATTGATTTTGCATTTGGTATCTTGGCTGTGAACTGAGATGATCATTGGGGATTCTGAAGTTTGTAGTGGAAGCAGACCTTAGAAGGCACTGAGGAAAGCACTACAATTCCAGGGGAATACAAAATGGGTCCTTACATGTTGATCTGAATGGTCTCCTGTTTCAGTACTTGCAGAGGTATACTTTAGAGTGTGCAGGAATTACCATGGACCTGGTCTGATCTGGACTAAGCTGTAGTTAGACCTACTTTGTGTTCACTGTACAAACTTCCAAACAAAAGGAAAGATTGAAGTCATAGCAGCTGTTGGTACCAAGTAACATTGAGCATAATGCCTCAAGGAAGTGGCACTGTGCTCTGGTAAGATACAATTGTTGATCTTAGAATCAATTCATTTTCCAGCATGCCTCTGGAAACCTGTGTTGATCCTGTTCAGACTGTTGCAGATTCATGTGAAGCATGCCCAGGCCGTGCTGAGATGGACTGAGTGCTGCAGAGCCTTCCAGCATTGGTCCTTAGCTGTGGAAGTCAGGCTTCTTGGAAGTGCCAGTAGGGATTAAACAGGCTGGGTTGGTTGGGGACCTGCTGGCTTTTTTCCTCTGGGTGGAGGGGTTCACTCTTCATTTTTCATTCAACCTGCCAGTTAACTAGAGCCAGTGATTTCTCTTTGGATCTTAGGGAATTTGCATGGTTTTCAGGCATAATATTGCCCTGATTGAACTACAAGACAGATGATGTACAAACTAGCACTGAAATAAATTATTTTAAAGTGTATATGACAAATTGAACAGCTGTTTTGTTATGCGTTGGAGTTGTAAATCAAATTAACTAAATCATCGAACAATTGATTTTAAACTGGTCTGAAACAAGTTGCCTGTGCAGGCTAAATTGACTTTTCTGCATGCCTATCTTGAAATAGGCAGCATTCTTGAGGAGGGGGTGGTGGTGGAATTCAGCTTGTGCTATTGCTGCAGAAAATTCTTCTATTAAAGTATTTAAAGGATGTGTTGACAAGTCCTTCCTACTGTAGCTTTCAAATCTGAAAAATATGCATGCTTAGTGCTCAGTCCTAAAATTACATTCCTTGCACATAATGCCTATTGAATGTGATAGAAAAAAATCAAATCAGAGCTAATCTTAAAATTGCATAAAATTTACACTAAACTATGTATTATTTAAGTTAAGTTTACAGTGAAATATAGTACTTAGAAGGTTCTAGTAAGATTTCCTCCATACTAGGCATTGTAGTATGCCTTTTGAGGGGGCAAGTGATGGTTTTTGAGTGGCATCCATTTCTAACACATGTACTTGACAGCATCCTGACTCATTTGCAGTAGTTCTATGACCTATTGCAGTAAGTGTTGCTGTACACAATGTACTGCCCTGGGAGGCTGGGGCTGAGCAGCACAGCTTGGTCACTGTAGGGTCAGCCAAAAGGCATCTTCGAGAATTTATTTACCTGTGCTTCAACCAGAAGAGTAGGTGCTATGACTTAGTACCTTTTGATCCCAATATCCTTGTAGTCCCAAGGGGAATGAGTTAGCCCAGATAGTTAGACTGGTTTTTGTTTGGAACTTTGAAGTAAAAAGGTGAATGCATGCTCTTGTGGAGAGCCCTTAATTTCATGAAATGTCTGCCATTGTCACAGGAAAAGCATGTTGCTTTTTTGAGAGACAATGCAAAAAAGCTACTTTGCCTAAATTCTGGAAGGTACTTGCCTGGATTTTCCTTCTCCCTTAGCTGCAAGCTTGGTAACATCTTTGCAAAAGTCAGGTTCGAACTTTAGGAAGCTGTACCACTGAATTATGCTGATTTCAGATGATAAAGAGTTACCTTGGTTTCTTGGAATGCTGTAGCTGAGAGCAAAATGATGTTACCTAAGCTGTGCTGCTTCTGCTGGTGAGTTAATGCAGGTGCTTTCCTCCCCCTTCCCAGGTGGAGGATGAAGTGGATCACAGCATTCGCAAAGTCTACAATGGATACAATGGGACAAATCCTGATGCAGCCAGTCGTGCCATTGACTATGTACAGAGGCAGGTGAGACATGTGCCAATTTTCCACTCCTTTCTGACAGATGCACTTGCTCTACTACTTGTGTAGATGGCCTTCCTCCATTCTGACAAATCTAGGATATTGCTCAATGGACAATAAATAGATTAACTTAGTTAAAATTAGTATTATGATATTGCTGATGGGGAGATAAATTTTTATATAATGAGCTATCTGTCAATCTGTGCTTGTATTCAAATATGTGGTACTTAAGTGTTTTTCTGCAATGGAACATAATACACTTGTCCTCTTGATATTGCAGTTAGAATTGAATTCTTTACCTGTCTGATTTTCCAGCTGCGCTGCTGTGGGATCCATAACTATTCAGACTGGGAGAATACTGTCTGGTTCAAACAAACTAAAAACAACAGTGTGCCCCTCAGCTGTTGCAAAGCAGCCCTCAGCAATTGCACTGGCAGTTTGACTCGCCCCATGGACCTTTATTCAGAGGTAAGGCAGCCCCAGCATGAACTGACACAGCCACATGCTTTCACTGACCATTCATTTTCTTTGGAGGAAATCAGATCTTGAGTGTATTTCCTTTAACAAAGTAGATGTGGTTAATCCTCCCTCTTCTCTTTTATCTGTGAGTAATTTTCATCTAATTACTTCTTTTAGTATTAGCGTTCTGTTTCTGCCCTGTGTGATGCTTTTGGGGTTTTTTGGTGTGTCTAAATATGGTTGGCAGATTGATACATAAGAATCCTACTTGTTTCAGGGGTGTGAGGCTCTGGTGGTAAAGAAGCTTCAGGAGATCATGATGTATGTCATCTGGGCAGCACTAGCATTTGCTGCTATTCAGGTAAGAGAATATTCTTTATTTGTTGACTTCTATCAAATTAGATCTAACCTGCAGTACAGGTATGCACATACAGATACTACCCTTTAACACACAACTTCTCACTGCTATGTGGATGTATATTCTGTTAGAGCTGAACAGTCAGTGTTATATGCAGTAAACCACTGTGATGTAAATGGTAAATTATTTAGTGGCAACTTAATCCAGGTATTAAGTATCATAAATGTCCTCTGATGGCATTTAACACTTGAAGAGTTGACATAGTGTTTCATTTCCAGTTTTTAAACAGCTCATCGTTCATGCTGTTTTAGAGGTACATCAGCTTAACTATGCTTCATGGTGTACAAACAATGTCAGGACCACCCGGGAGATACAGCAAGGTTTTTGACAGTGCACTCTGTTCCTGTGCAACTGAGCTTTGCTATGTGTCTTGAAGATTTCTTGGGTTTTGTACTTAAACAAAGAGGCTCTAAACTGCAGCCCCTTCCATGAACCTTGTTACAGTTACCCTGGTCATAAAAGGGTCACTGAGGAAATAAACTAATGTGTATATTAATATTTATTAAATGTTAAGGAAATAAAAAAAGACTAGAACTGTCTCCCAAGCATGTTTGTAAAATAAAGATTTTGAACTCTCATCAACTGGCAGACTCACTACACTAATGACATAGTTTTCAGACTGTGCCTATATTATGGTCTCTGAGCAATGTAATACATATGCTGAATCCTAGGAGACTTAAAAACTAATTTCAAAGTTACTTTAGTGCTCTTAATAGCATTTGAGTTCAGAAAATACACCTGTCGAGTCTGACAATGTAAGCACTTTTGTTTTCAAAAGCAGCTTTTGAGCTGAATGTATGTTGGAAGGTAAATAATCTTTTGCAAACAGTCTTGTGAAAATAGAGTTGCCTTTGTATTTCAATGTTACACGGATGTACTCATAGTACTGTACACAGTCATGTTGAACTATTCAGACTCGGACTACTTCAGCTATGGAACTTGAAATTTGGTGAGATCTGTGCTCAGTCTCCTGAAGGGAAGGTATAGTTTTATTTATCATTCTTAAAACTTTGGTTGTAAAAGCAATACTTGGTCTGTTTGAGCAATTAAATGTATTTGTGTACTGAAAATGTTTTCACAGCCAGAGTTACTGTGACAAATTTTTTTTATGTCAGGAAAAAAGCGTATCTTATGAAACTGGCTGAGGTGAATCCCAGGAGCCATTATTCTTAGTTTTGGAGTTTACAGGTTAATGAACAGGTCTGCCCCAAAATGCAGCGCAGTTATAATCTGTTCTGGCCCTGGTTCAGAGTTTCTAACACATGCTTGCAATGGCAGTGTGGCTGCTTGCCCCCTTCTGTTCAAACTGTTCTATTATTCATCTCCTGAAATTTAAGACACAAGTTCTGACATCTTTGTCTTTGCCATACGGAATTCAAGTAAGTACTTGGCCCAGTTCTCAGCAGAATGGTCTGTGGGCTAACTTGAAAGGGAGGTAGAACATAAACTTCAGCACGTGGCTGCAACTTGGGTCATACCCTGTAAACTTACAGGAATAAATATGCTTTTCTCACCCTTTGGTCAATTTTGCAACCTTCCCTATGCTGGCTGCAGTGTCCCCTCTGAACAGATTATTTTGTTATGCAATGAGGCTGTTGGAAATTCATTACCCTTGATAGCCTATAGTCAACAAATCTTACCTTCAGTAATTGCTTTAAAATTAAAAGACTGAAAAGAGTATTTTTGCAAGGCTTGAAATTTATGAACAACTTAGTCTTTTCTGCACAGAAGTAATTTTTGGTATGTTCATGTTTCAGTTACCATGGGGATCTTCCCATGTGCAATAATTCCCTGGTCCCAGCCACAGTGACAGCCCAGAACTATTAATAGATAGGAGGCAAACTGAAGGGAGCAAAGACAAAGACACAGCTTCTGTGGCTGCTGATCATTTACAAAGGGCACATGTATATACAGCCAGTGAATTTTTGTACAACATTGGTTTGGGGAAAGATTGAATAGTTATTGCTAGCAGGCAAATTAAAGCCAAAATTAATAAAAAACAGAACAAACCTTCAGAATGTAGGAGATGTCTAAACTTTGCTGAAAGCTGTTGAAGAGGAGGATGCATGGATCCTTCCTTAACACAGATGTCTAAAATTGCTGTTCACAATATTCAAGAGCAACTAAAGAGAAACAGACTCAAATGCCTTAAAATGTTTAGAGGTGCTAGCAGATTTTTTTTAATGACATAATAAATAATGTGTGTAGAGAACGCTGAGGTATGTGAGTCACTTTTGTTTATAATGAATTCTAGGAATATGCTCAGAGACCTCCTAAAGGATATAAATGGTTTAAATAGTAACTCAGAAGTTAATTGCATGAGGTTTTACTGTAGTACCTGAATGTTTTGAGATGTAGCACAACTGTGTATAAATTAAATGTCTCGAGGGAGTGATTGAACAGGGTTGTCTTTGTGCAAATAACTGTAAATGTGCTGGGTCTACTTTTATTCATGTGATGTACATGAATGAATTGTAGGAAGAGACTAAAGGAGGTGCTGCTCTGCATCACACTTTTCATTTTACCTTGGCTTTGAGCAGCACAGAAGTTGTTTTTGTACTTGCAGGCTGTGAGCCTGCTTGAGAGTTCTGTAGCCACTGGCAGCTACCATAAACTCTCCATTTTCCAAGTCTGACTGAAGTGGGTTGAATTGTAGGTATTCCCTCCTCACCTAGAAGGGCTGTGTCCACGATGAGTCATTCTCTCATGTAATTTGTTTCCTCTTGCTCTGGCATGAATTTATCAGCCTGAGCACCCTGATGTAATTGATGTCCCTGCTTTTTGCAGGAGGGCTTGACTGGATGGCCTCTAAAGGTCTGTCCCAACCAAAACCATTCCATGATTCTATGATAACATATTTAGGAGTCAGTCTGTAAGCTGGAGCCACCTGAGTGAAGAAAGGGGCTGTTTTTAACAACAGCTCAAGTGCCATACTCTCCCTGTGCTTTTTCAACCTGAGCTGGTGTCTGCTATAGATAATGCACTGCAGACAAAGAAGAGTATTGATCTATACAGCTTGTTCTTTTCCAGGAAATTAAAAGCTCAGCCTAGAATTTCATCATGCCTCTTCCCAATCATTGTGTATTTAGATTTAGGATTTTTGAACATTGTATTTTCAGTATTTCAGCAGACTGGAGTACAATATCATTTAGTTTTAAAACATGTTACACATCTGATGTTTGCATTGGCCTGGATTTTAAAGAAGTCAGTAATTCTCCTTTTGTCCCAGTACTGTTTTCACTGGGCTTTTGCTGTATCAGAGAGGAAGATCTACACTTGATTGTCTGCTCACACATTTCATTCTTGTTTGCTGTCTGCCCAAGGGATTTTTTTGTGGTGTATTTTTGGAGTGGGGTCTTCATTAAGAAACCGGGTTACCTTCAGAGTGGTGCTTTATAATCCAGAGATAGGACAGGAGGCTCCTGAAGTATTTGCATCTGTGAATAAACTTCTATGCATGTAGCCAAATCAATATAATCTCATACTGCACTAGAAGCTATTGCCAGTTACTGTAGACCACAGAACACAACACTATACCTGCTAGTTTTTAGTAGTTAGTCTTATTCTGCCTTCAGTAAACATGCAAATTCTTTAAAATATCATGCCCTGTATCCTTGATTATTCATATGGTTTAAGTTTTGTAAGTGGACACAGGGTGATCCTGGCAAGCATGCCAGCACAGTTGTGGTACTGTGAATTTTCACTTCTAAAAGTGAATTATTTGCCTTGGATGTAAGCTTTCTAATATGACATGTTCATAGAGAGAGAGTTTTATGAAATCTCTTTCAAAAGCCCATTCTCATCATAGCAGTTAAGCTGATGAATTTGAATTGCATTTGGATTTTCCATACCAGATACAGGGGATCTAAAAATCTGTACCTTTCATTAAAAAACAGTAGGAGTTTTATCCATCTGAATCCGAATTATTGAGGCAGAATACAAGTGGCTGACCAATAAAGTTTTATATGTCCATGATAATCTTGTAAAGAAAATGAGGCTGAAGCTTGCAGCAGGAACCAGGGCTCTTTCAGGAAGAGTTTTTGTTGCCATTGATGTTAATTACAGTCTTGAAGCATGCTGACAGTGTGTGCAGAGGTTGAGTCTCTCCAAGTACCTTCCTTGTACTCAAGCTTTTTCTGTGTTTTTTTTTCTCCCTAGCTTCTGGGCATGTTGTGTGCCTGCATAGTTCTATGTAGGAGGAGTCGGGATCCTGCCTACGAGCTTCTCATTGCTGGTGGAACCTATGCCTAGAAGAGAATTCAAACATGCAGTTCAATCTTCCCCCACTTCTGTGGAAGGTGAATGGGCCAGGCTGGCCTCCATAGCTTTCTTGCCCCAAGCTTAGTCCAAGCACACCTTTCAGCCGTGAGGGCAGCCGCACTGGGCACTGGTGACGGGCAAAACAGCAGCTTTACACAAACCCATAGAATTACCTGTGACTGCCACTGTTTTAGCCAGCTATTCATGTATCTAAATGTTTTAGTATGCTAGTAAACTTTCTAATTTCAGAACCATTTGCGAGTTAAGTGTAATTTGGTTGATATGAAAGTCAAAGGATGTGTGCTTATGTTGGTAGATTACCTCTAAGCATTAACTGGCTGATTCTTGCATATAGAGAAGATGTCTTAAACCTTCACTACATGGAATTTTTCTGGCCAAAGTTGTACAAAGGAAGCCAGCTGTATTTAATTTGAGAAGAAAAAATGTTTTAATCTTGCCCTTCACCAGTGTCACTTTTAAAAAAGAAAAAAACACTTAAGTCCGGTATGCTTTATATATAAAGAAATTGTAAAAAAACAACAAAAAAAAAAACCAACAAAACTAACTGATTTTAGGATTATGTGACTGCAGTTTTGACCTTCAGAGATTGAATCTTTCAAACATTAGTGGTTTAAAATACAAGCTGGCTTTTCAGGAGTATAATGTATGCACTACTGTTCTATAATGAAATATTTCATTTTTCTATGAAGAGCGTTTTATGTGTTGAGTGAACTGTTAGACTGTAGACCTTCAATTGGTTTGGAAACAATGTAGCTATGTAGAGTAGCAGAGTAGTATGTGAAAGTGATCTCAACTGTAAATAGTAAATCTGATTAAATAAATCTCTGTATATCCTCCCTATAAACATGTCTTGTTTTCTGTTTGAGATTCCAGTGTATTTGGTCCAATGGAGTCTGGGTGTGCTGAACACACAAACTGTAAAAACAACACTTTTGGATGGCTTCACTTCAATAGACCTGTGTTTATGGTTTGCTGGAGACTTGATTGTATTGTATTTGTTCTTTTTATTTGAAACAATAGCAGCGAAACAACAAACTTGGCTGAACTTGATGGAAACTTAACATCTTGTGCATACAATTAAGGAAGAATCTGTTGCCTCTAAACAGTGGGTAATGAATAGCTTTACTGTAACTGCTGTATGTTAATTATGTTTTAATGTGTCTCGCATTATTCAGATGCTTAGTCACTGCCCTACTTTCAGTGTCTTCAGGTTCCTCCTCCTTTGCAGAGGCCAGGAGAATTGTAGCAGTTGCTTATGTACAAAGCAAACACGTTCAGCTAAACTGACGTCAAGATAATCTCAAATAACTAAAGAAACATTACTCAGAAAAAGAAAATTCTGATGTGTACACATTGTTGAGGCCAGTGTGGCTTGTTGGGGGATTTTTCTCAGTGCTCTTACACTGCTGTAGAAGTGCACCTTTGGAATTCTGTTAACTTTTAAAGGTGGGTTTCAAATACTTACTTGGGACTTAGATTTTTGTTCTTAGTTCAGCATTTGGCTCAACCCAGAGGCCTCCTGACTGTGACATCAGATTTCTCAGATGTGGCAGCAAGCCTGCTCACTGAATTAGATTATATTCATATCACATTGCATACTGTAAATATGGAACCAATGAGGTTGAGATGACCCTGGCTTGTAAAAATGGGTGTGGAGAGATTTTTAAGACAGACATGTGTTGCACAAAATAAGGTTAAGGTTGCTTAACAAGGTGGTCAGCTCTTAGCAGCTGCAAGGCAGAAAAACTGCACAGTCATGACCCTGCACATACCCCTTTGAAATGAGGATAGTTTGGGGGAGATGGCAGGGCACTGCTTGTTAATCTCGCTGGAAGGCATGCATTTGAAGTACAGGTGACTTGACAGTACCTGCATGTAAATGAAGTCTCTGTTTCCTCTTTAAAATGCAGAATATTTGTGCTGGAATGTAGAAACTACTCAATATTTTACAGCTTTTTTATAATCTAAACAAAGCCCAACCGAACTTTTAACTACTGTCAATTCGTTTTTTCTAGGAACCAGTGACCTTCATGTATTGCACAGTTTATAGTAGGTCTTGGATGTGTGAATAAAGTTATGGTGGTGTTTGGGTTTTCTAGAATACGAAATCAAACTTTACCCCCCCCAACCAAACCCAAACTTGCAAGGGTCTAATACACTGCATTTTGTGTGATTCACTGAAGCTGGGAACAAGTGGTGTAGGTCTGTGGCTTCCCTTACTGAAAAAAATGAATAAACTTTGGCTTGCATCTGGCAGGAGTGTTGGTGTGGCTGTAGTTTGGCCTTCCTAATTACATTCATATCTGACAATGTATTTCAGGGGACAAGGGATGATTTAGTTTCATTATAGCTCTTTTTTCCTTGATTCTTGTGTCTAGTCTTGTAAGTTCCTGTATGAATTTCTTCTTGGCTGTCTTGTAGCTGAAGAGTCTGAGAGGGCAATTCTCATGAGCCACTTATTAGGGTGCTGAAATGTAGTAAAGCACAAGACTTGCAGTGCAAGTCACTTCAGTCACTTGAATAGCAGTGAGAACAGCACAACCCAATTAAAAAAACCTTGAAGGCAATTCTAATCTCCTGTGTTAAACCCCTCTGGGTCAGGCAGGGTTTACTGTGCTGCAGGTGAGCTCCATGCCTGTGTGCTCCATGTAGCACACATGGATTCACTCAGTCTGAATCATTTCCTGTGCACCCTAATAAGAGGCTCATGAGAACTGGAGGGCCTTATTCAAGTTGTGGTCTAGAAAAACATGATCATCTGTATTCACATTATTAAATAGAGAAGTGGTCTAACAAGTTCAGTTTAACAAAGTTACTGAAAAAAAAATTCTGCCTTGATAGCCAGAAGAGATAGCTCATGAGATTCTTCAGTACTTGCAGCTTCAGATGAGATTTGAGTTAAGTGCTTGTGATAATAATGCCAGTGATAGCCTTCAGAGTACTGTTAGTGGATCTTGTAACTGACTTAATCTTGGGCCTGAGACAAATCCCTCTGGAATGCCCGGCAAGTCTGCAGGTGCAGTGGATTTTGGTTGTTCCCTGGGCAATGTCCTGCAGCAGCAGCATGCTCTGGGGTGACTGCAGTGCTTGGAGAATGCCACCTGAGCCTCTGCCCTGCCTCTTGCAGTCTTTGCTCTTGGGTGTCACCCCTACTGCCTGGGGCAGCTGGCCTTGCTACACATAATAGGTTTAATTTTACTTCCATGGCCTTTTTCAAAACACATGTTGGTAATCTTTCCTTGCTGATCTCTGCAGCCTCTCATAGCTGATCTGTTTCCCCTGGAGCTGCAGTGAGCAGTTGGAAAGCTCTCTTGGGGGCAGCATCTTTTAAACCATGATGTGTGCTTGGGCTGTTGCTAAAAGGCACAGAGCAGACTTCCATCTGTGCCACATCTGATGTGAGCACAAAGCTTCCTCTGCCAAACTATTGATGTGATGCAGTGCCCTAGCAAGTGGCAACATAGCTGGTTGCTGTAGGCCGTGCTTGGCTATGGGAGGGTGAGGTGCTGGCAGTCTTAGCCTATTTCCCACTGTCCTGCACATCAGTCTCATGTTCCTGGACTGCTTCAGCACCAATCTCTCGTGTCTGTTGTGGTAACTGGGTTTGCTATTTGTCCGTCCAGTTTTGGGGCTACTCTTCAGTAATGGGACTGAGGAACAGAGAACAAACTCCGTGGCAGGTAGCAGAATTATGTTGCTGCTGATCTGTTTAAAGTCTGGGTGTGATCTGATTTTGATGGGGTGGTCATAGTTTAGCAGTACTGTAAACTTTGCCCTTCTACCTCCCCGTGAAAGGATTATGTGCAAAAATCCTACAAGATAGTCCTGAGGTAGTCCTGCAGCAAGTTGTGTTTCTTTCTGTATACCATAGCACACAGTTTAATGTTTATAATAAGGCTAAATTGCAGGCCACTTGTTCCTGGGAGGAGGAGGAGGTGCTGGGGAAGCACAGCTGTACAGCTGCTCCATGGCCTTTTGCTGCACCCTGGACATGTTTAATGTCCTGGCAGCTGCCTGGGGTGGCAGAGGTAAATATTAGATTTGTCGACCCACTCCTTTATTTCTTCAGTCTGGCAGTTGCCTTTACAGTACAGGTTTTGTGCTCACAATACATATTTAGTCCAGGCATATGCCTTTGATTTAGTGCTTGTTGTGACTGCAGTAATCCCTGCTGGCTCTGTGCCTGGCAGCAGCTGTAGCTTCTTTCAGTGCCTGGACTCCAGGACAGGAGTTCAGTTGTTTTGTGTGGGATATTTACACTGTAATGAACACAAAGTACAGTTTATTCATCATTTAAAAGCAGGGCTGAGTCTGTAGTTTAAGCGTGGATGTGAATTTAAACCTGCACAAGTGAGACACTATCAGAGCTCCAGTCTGGGGACCTGAGACTTGGTGATCCTTCTGGAGCAAAAGCAAAGAAACACTTCTTTCTAGTGATAGGCACTGAACCACACATTTTCTCTCACCTGCTTCTCTTGACCCTGAATGTTAAAGATATCTCACAGCTTTTTTGTGTTGAAACTTCTGCCAGAGGGCAGCCTGCAAACTGGGTTGCTTGGGGTAACAGGAGCCACAGCAGTGGGACCATGGAGCTGTTTCTGTTGCCACTCCAGAGTACAGACAGCTTTGCTTTCATTTGGATGTGTGGTACTTCAGGGACCAGCTCTTTTCACCAAACGGACTACTGCCTCATTTCAAAGAATAAGCATTTTCCAGGATAGCTGTCCTGCCAGACCTTTGCTAGGTCAGGCTGTGACTGAAGAACTGGAAGGCATTTCCCTCACGTAAATAAAACACTTAAGCAAACCACTGGCAGTTGTGGGGCTTGACAATATCTAGGATGACCTACATGCAAAAGCATTCTGGTTGAGAAAACTACTTCTGAAATGGAGTTCCGAAGTTTTTCTTCCAACTGGACAAAGGAAGCAGTAAGATCTGCTCTTGCCTGAATGAGTCTGCCATTGGATTTCATTGAACAAGTCTGCCAGCACAAGAGGTGTGTGCAGGGGTTGTATTCACACATTTTCAGCTGAGAGTAGGAGAGGGATAAATCACCTGTGGCACCCGAGTCCTGTGCCAGCCTTTACCAAGCACCATTCCCCGTACACACTGTAGAATTAATCACTCCTTGGACTTGCAGGACTTGGAGAATGCCCCATCCTTGGGAAGCATGCTTGGTGTTAGTAGCCTTGCACTCCATGAAGTTTTTTTGCCCTTTGAGTGCAATGTCCATTTTGAAAGCTTAAATCCAGCATTTATCCTGATAGCTTTGTTTCCCCCTGTACAGTACTACGTTCAGCATTAAAAAGTGGTGCATTGAGGATACATTACAGACACTGAAGAAACATAAATTTAGAGCTTGTGCTGGCTGATAAGTGCTGTGGTTATAAAAGCTGGCATGGGACCCTACAGAGGAGGGAGGATGCATTTCTTCAGCTGCCTTCTCTCCCCCTTTGTCTTTGAATCCTCCCATGGCTGCTGAATTGAGCAGTGACCTAGTAAAACCTTTAGCTGCCACTTAGCAGAACAAAGTCACTGTCGCTTAAGTCTCCCTTCCTCACACAGGGCTCAGACACAAGAAGGGCTGTGCAGCCCTGCTCCAGAGACAAAGCACTTCTCACGTCTATCAGTGCATTGAAAGCTTTCCCATTCACACTTAATGGTAGCGTTCTTATCCTGGGAAGGTTAAAGTTCACCAGTTTCCCAAGAAGTTCTTCCACGGACTGTTTCGGCTTAAAAATTCAGAACAATTCTTTAGATGCAGCTGTTGAGCAGTTGTGCCCTTGCAGAGGGGAAGGGAATGCACTGAACTCCCCCACACGCTCCCTGCACTGAGTGTGTTAT